GTCTTACACGCCATGCTTTTCCCTAGGCACCTGCTGTTGTCAAAGAGGATGTCAGGCTAGGAACATCTGTGTTCTGACCAAGTGCAGCTCTTCTAATGTGCTGATTCAAGCTGCCTGTAATTATTCCACAGGTGATCCTTTCTGACGAGTCTTGGTGCTAGCTTCCTTCTAATAGTAGCCTTTTAAATGCTTGTACATCAATATGGGAAGACAACAAAGTCCGTCAGTCCTGTGTTGTTTGTCAGGTGAAGCTGCCTTCTATTATCTTTTTCTCCATTTGTCTTCCCAAGTTCCTTCTTGTAGCTAGAAGAAGGAGAAAATAAGAGGCAGACATCTTTTAAGTGGCAGAAAGAACGGATGCATTCTTCCAGAGTTTTCTTGTAGTAATGTCTGCCTTGGTCCTTCTGATTTCTCAAGGAGCTGGTGGAAAAATGAAGCTCCCATTCTGAACTGGGAAATTCCAGTTATGCTGGAAGAAATATACTAACTCTTCAGCAGTTCTAGAACAAAGACGTTCTCTTTTATAAAACATCCTACTGCCTCTGGCTGTCAATCAGCTTAGACATTGTCTGGTGTTACCAGAGCCCAGTTTCATTTCCAGTAATCCACTATTCCTCAGTGGGTTGTCTTAATGCTTTTTAATAAGCATATGGCTAAAAAATATGTAATACCTGAGCATATTCTTTATCAGTCAGGGTCACCATGAGCAGCTTGCCCAGGGCTGTATCCAGTTATGTTTTAAAAACAAACACTCAACAGCCTTTCTGAGCAACATATTCCAGTCCTGTTCCTGTCCTGTTCCTGCTTCCCATATGACAGAAGATTTGGCTGAAGACAAGACTTTTAGTGTGTCCTTTTGGCATTTGGGGTAAGAAGTTAGGTGTTGTATCTTCCCATGCAAAACAGCTGATTGTGTATTGGACTAGAAGTTGTAAAAGCTAAAGCGTAAAGGATAAGACTGGCAAAAACAGTGGGACTGGGAGTTCTAGTGATCACCTCTGACGGAGAAAAGACAGCCAAATTTATAGATGCAAGATTCTGCTGATCAAGGCCAGGAATGCCTTCCTTGCTGGTTTGAGTTCCAGCTTGCTGGGAGTTGAACTTCAGGTACTATTGAAGAAAGTCAGAAAGATGAGAGCTGCCTTCACACTGAAGCATTTGTCTAAGGTACCTCAGCAAAATGTGCCTGTATGCAGTCTGTGTACGTATGCCATGGTAGCTAGCTTCTGTGTTGCATATTTAAATCAGATCTGAAAGAGTTAATGCATCACACGTCTGGTGAATTATTCTTGCTGAATCAGAGTGATAGTTCTGATCAGTGTGTTCTAGAGGAGTTGTTGAAGAGCCATTTGATACCAAGAATCCTGAAGCCAGACTTCTGTTTGCCACATAGAGTGATACTCTCTCATTGACATTCAATACTAACTTCCACTGTGTGTTTCCTTTCCCTACCTTGCTGAAGAACAGCAGAAAATAGCTGCATGTGTTAGTTGCGAGTGTAACAGCGAAAATGAAGGACACCTTTTCTGACTAGAAACACTAGTTTCAAGGAGTTGTCTTCTCTACCGCCTTCCTGGAAGATACTGATGCTGTAGGAGTTTTCCAGTGTATCTGGTCTTTCATCATCACTGTACACACAATTAGACAGGATTTGCTGTTATCTTGGTCGTTCTGGCATCACAGAGTGGATCCTCTCCTTTGATTATATATATCAGTGTAGTGGTTTACTTGTACATTGTCAAGCAGACATATACAAAACTTTTGTCTTAACAACACACACAGGATCATGTCTGCATTTGTCCTCTCCATGTACGTATGCCAAAAAGAGAAAACTTGCTCTCTACTTGCATTCCACTGGATTTAATCAGTTGCAGCATCAGTATTTATCTTAGGAGTATTTTTTCACTTGAAGCTTTACTTTTTTGGGCTCCACATTTTTAAGAGCTCATTCTGTTACTCAGTCCCAGAACAAATGTGTTTTTCTTCTGTGTAGAACAACATAAGTCTGTATTGCCTTGGTAATACATTCTGACAGCTGTGGACTTTGCTTTGTCCTCTCTAATGGAAAGGTGACAGTAGGCATGTTGTGCTTGCAAAGCAGACATGCCAGCCACACTAATGGGAAGTACCTTGCAGGCAAATCTATAAACCCAACTAGAAACCAAGTTGAGATATTTGTACTAAAAAAGGGCATCTGCTTTGAAGTACTGCTCACAAGTGAAACTGTTTGCTTCTAATTAAAAGTTTCTGTAGTGTTGTGCATCTTTGAAGGTGTCTTGGCCATAGCACTGTTTGGAGGAGTCTGTTGCATATTGAACATCAACTTCTATGGAAGAAACTGTATCTTAATGATGTACATCTGAGCTTATTTGTACCTAAGCACAATGTACTGAAGCGCTGTACTGAAATAGCATTTTGCTGTCTCTAAATGGTTTGCTCAGTCAGTGTCTATAGTCTTTTCTAAACAGAGCTTCAGTGCCTAAAAAACCTCAGAGCTATTATTGGAATTAAGAGGTTTAAAGATCTGTAAGGATCTTCTCTCTTTATTCTGCTGCTAGTCTTTAGTGTGTAAGGTTTAATACTCCTGTCAGCTAAAATTTATTCATCTCTGTTGCAGCACTAGTTAAAAAGAGCTATGTAAGAGAAAAGGTACATAAAGGTAGACCTCTGCTTTTTTCAGGATGAACTGTGATACATTCCAACACAACCTTCTCAAACAGATTTTTGTCCTTATAATGCCAGTATTTTCTGAAGCTAAATGTTTCCTTGGCTGGTCATTTAAACAAGTTCCTCAGTCTTGTATATGGACACTTGGGACATCCTTATCAGTTCCTCTGTATCTAGGATGTCATTACCTGCCAAGGAGTTGTGCGCTGATTTTTTCTCTGGGCCACATAATATACTTTGGTCTCTTGGCTGTGTATCAAAGCACATGTAAGGCCTTGATAAGTTTTTGTTTGTTTGTTTTTACCAAGCTCCTTTGTCTGTGGTTCAGGAGGCACATAGTATTTCTTATACCACAGGGTACAACTGTAGGTTCTTCCTGTCATGAATCATTGAAGACTTTTTGGTCCTTCTAAGTTGAATGGCCAGACATGTTTTGTCACTTCTTGTATCAAACTGATTAGCAGAGATGCTTGAGAGCTTGATGAATGTACATTGAAGTCCTTTATATTATTTGTTTATATTTTGTCCTATAGTAGATATGTATCCTTTAGTAGATGGATGTCTGTAATGCACTATCTCTCCCCTCCCTCCAGTTAAGAAGAATGTCTCCTTGGTTTAGTGAGCCTACTTGGAAAAACTTAGTCTTAAAGCTTGTGGACTCTTTCACATGAATTCAGGGAGTTGAGGGTTGTGAGATATGTTTGTTTGCTTTCTAATCTTATTCTTGCAGAAAATATTACAACTTTGGTTTTCATTGATAAGGAAGGATTCAGACATGCCACCATGAATACATGAGAATTCTCTAATGTAGTTAAAATTTTTTTATCTATGAAAACTGTTCCCTTTGTCTCTATTTTAGATAGCACATATGCTAATATTCATGGCAGTTGATGAAGACCTTTTGGCAAGAACCATTTGATAGTCTTCTTTTGCACCAGTAGACAGTGTAATGAGCAACAAGGATATGGATGTGCACTTGTGTAGTAACACTTTGGTGGTTTTGCTGACTCTCTAAACTCAGATCATCATGTGGCAATTTGGGATGAGTGTGAAGAGATGCACATAGGAAAAAGTATGTGGTTCTTGACACAATAATGACCTTCCCTCCTCCCATTTTTTTCAGTGTCTTGTAACTAAATATACTTGTCTCATTTGTGTTATCTTGATGAGTTATATGTATTATTCTTGTTATGTACAATAATAGTCTTCTTTGTTACACTTCCATTGTATGCTGCTGAGACAGAACAGCATAGGATGGCTTTAGCAACCTTTATAAAGTTCCGATGGATATGGACATCAATATTGTAAGGTAAATGCTACCCCTGAGCAGTAGCAAGTAATTCAGCTAGTCAGTGTTTTTTAGAGTGGTCTGCCTCAGAAAAGGACTTTGGTGTGATGTGCATCAAGGAAACTGACAAGAATTGTTTCTTCTGAGGAACATCAAGGTGGAGCTACATAAACCTTAATAACTTTATTGCAGGACTTGTTCTTGCTTTGGAACCAATATGGAAACACTGAGAGCTTTTGTTATCTCAATTCTACATAGATATTCCTGCTAAGTTACAGTTAGGTCGATCTAGGTTGAAACTGCATAGCTTTAGGAACTTGAATTTATTGTAAGTTTATTTCTACAGTTCTCAAATGGTTCTTTTAAGGATGTACAGAGGTTAAGGATGACTTCTGATCATGTGAGATGCCTATTGAACTTCGCAAAGGGTCGAAACATGGACTGGCAAAACACAGGGGCCTGGAGGGAGGCTGTGGGTATAGTTCGAAGTGGCCTAATCAGATTTATAACAGAATTTATTATGAAATTTATTCCTTAATTTCAGAACCATTTGAAAAAAAAGAAATTCCTCGAGCATGTCAGCAGATAGGCTTTCAACACTGCCTGACGGGTGTCCTCTTGTTTCAGAAGTATACCATCAAACCCCCTTTCCCTCAGTAAGATGCAACAGAAACTTTCATTTATGATCTGTTTACCTGTATGGATGACCGGGACAGGGGGGTGCTAATGTGCAAAACACCTAAGTTTATGGAGTGTGTCATCGTCTTCTTGTCCTTCTAGGAGAAAAGAGAGACGAGACATCTTTGGAAGCAAGTCTTGAGTTGTGTTACGTAGCTCAGATATTTGCCCTGTACTGATGTGGTCATATGCTTTTGGTATCCTTCAAAATGGAGTTGAAAGCATTGCAAGAAATACTATGCTGTAGTAACTACCTCAAGCTTACTTTCCCCGTGGATACCCACTTCAAAGTCTGTAAAATGTAACTAGCAAAATGGATTACACTTAGAGGTGCAACTGATTATTGACTATACTTTTTGTTTCCAAGGTGGAGAAAGTACACAGAGGTGATCAGGTGGATGGGCTTCTTTATCCTGCTGAGAAAATAACACCAACAGCAAAAAGTGATACAGAGCAACACAAAGCATCTCAGAATGTTACTTCTTCGAAAGCAGACCCCTTGTTAAAACCAAGTATGGAGAGCACGCCTGCATCACTGAGTAGTGACTTCAAGCAGAAAATTGTCAACATTTTGCTGAAATATTCTAGCGGTCTTTGGGCTAATGCACTTCCCAAATTGTACCAGGACACCTACCAAGTAAAATTTCCAGAAGACATTCTAAATAATCTAGAGCTGCTCTCAGATATATGTATAGTGGACTATGTATCTGAAATCCCCAAAAAGGCCATCCTCTATGCAAAACCCCAAAGATTCATTGACCCAAATCTGAATGTCACTGAGAGAGTCCAGAGGCATGGTGGTATGAAAGCTACAGCTGAACAACAGTATGAAGAATCCAAGGACCATTATCCAGAAAACATAACTGTTCCTCCTTTAACCATTCCATCGGAAGGATCTGTGTCCATCATGGTGTTGGAACTCAAAAACACTAATGAGGTCCTAATTAGGCAAGTCTGTACTTCAGAAACTCTTTTTTTTTCTTCATTTATGAATTCACATATTAATATTGTGCAGGTCTGCTGTAAGAGGACAGATGAACAGGAGGTTGCAGGATTTTATTTACTTATTTTGATAATGGAAATTAATCCTTTTGTTTGGGTGCTTAAATTAAAATTTTCTGTAACTTTTTCTGTGTTCATCTGATCTGTTCTATCATTTGCTTGTCTGAGAATCAAAGCAGATTTGACTTGCCATTGGAGACTTTTTAAAATAGCCCTATTATAACACATAATAGTATTCAGATATTGCTGCAATACTCATATTTTTTATTTCAGTAACTAACTTACTACTGACTAAGCATGACTTGAATGTATTCAGATTACACTGCAGTTTTCACTTCTGGGGACAGATGAGCTTCCAACAATAAACTACTAATGATTTTTTGGTTTGGTTGCTAATCAGCCCAGTCTTGAAGGACTGTATAAACGTAAGTTGTAGTGGTTGTCTTATGTTATTGTACTGTTTAAGGAAATACTATGATAAGCTCTCTATACGTCATTGCTAGGATAAAACACACAAATCCTAGCAGTTCTTTAAAACTAAAAAAAAACCCAAGCAATCAAACAAGAAAAAGTCCGACAAAGGTTTTTTATAGAAGATACTCCTTTTTGAAAATCATTTACATTGGGCCTAATCTTAAAAAGTTCTATATGTCACCTCAAAGATGAACTGAGTAACTGTGTGGCAATAGACTATATTGACAGCAGTCTGTTTTTTCCTGCTAGTCTCTGCAGTTTCAGCTTTCATTAGGTAGTTTCAGTCATTCAGAGGTCCTGGTTAGGATCAAAATAAGTATGTGTGGAGTTTAGTTACAGATCCTTTCACTATACCCTGTTGTTTACTACTCGTTGACAGTATTCAACACACTGGCCTTGAGGCTGAAATTTAGATATCCTTTTTCTCTCTAGCTATGAGTAATGTATTGGAATACTCAACCTTGAACTTTATGTGCTATTCCATTGTTCTAGTTCCCAGTGGTGATAATCTGTAGTGAAAATCCCCATATTTGGGGGTTGTGAGAGACATTCTCATTTGAGAATGTTGTCATCTTTGTTTCAGCTGCTAACAGTATTCCTATTTTGTGTTTTTTCTCAGATAAGCTTTTTTTGTACATTGCTTATACATTGATTTTGTATACTGGTCTTAAAAAAAACCATAATTTAAGGCAATATTCCTCATCCATCATTAACATGTGTACTGTCTCTGGCTGGATGAGTCAGTCATTTTAGCAAAGAAGACACAGCTGAAGTTTGTGAGTGAGTCTAAGCTTAAAAAAAAAGAAATCACAGGAAGAAGAGCTACATCAAAGAAAAGAGAGGCTTTATGTGTTATGTTGTTCCTGTGAGAGTTCTGTTTGAATTTAGTCAAAGACATGGAACATAATGAAGATTAATAGTGCCAGGAAAGACAGCCAATTTAAAACACGTAGTTATCTATACTTAGAGATACTGAAGTAGACATGATGCATATTGCATGTTTTGTATTGGGAAGAGAAGGAATAAATTATCTGGGTATTAATTTTGCAAAACTCTTTCCTTCTTACTATACACCTGTTAATTCTGGCAGCATTGATGACTTGCTCTATATGTGAAGTAACGAATCTTAGCTTTATAATGTTATTTTAAGGATGTTTCCACTAATTATTTGGGGAAATGGTTCAAATCTCATGGATTAAAATACCATATGACACAGATCAGATGAGGTTGATTAAGTTAAAATTTCTCTAAATCAGCAGTTCCCAAATTTTGGACCAAGGTTCTTGGACAATATTAAAGTTTCTGAATTTGTCAGCGCTGTGTTAGGTATGTGTTGCTGATTAGTGGTTTCTTGGCACTAGATACAGAAGTGACTCCTTAGGGTTATGTATGTACTACATGGGCAAGGTCATCTGTCTTCAAGATGAAACTATCCCTGAACTGAGTAGTTCACAAGAAAATGTTCATGTGGATGTATAGGAAGGAAACAATGCATGGGCTCGTCTTTCCTGTGCATGAAAGATCCTGAAGGTGACCTGCAGTCACCTTATCATGATCCGTACAAGAATGGTGTAGCTGTTTTTTTGTAGGATCAGTAAACTTGAGATTGTTTTTTGTCTTGGGGATGGAGCGATATCTCTTGCGGCTAAGCATTGTGTGGCTGAAACCTTTAAACTGCAGCACTAATTAAGACTAAGTTGAAAGATTTGGTGCTATTTCAATTTTGAGGCAGTATAGTTCTATAAATTCTGATGTAGTCAGAAAGAAAGAGAGGAAATAAAACACTCCTAGGTATTTGCTGTACATCTACAGCAGTGTGATTGCAGGAAAAGATGATAAGCTAGGTGCTACATTTGAATTCTCACAAGAATTTGCTATAAGCTTTTATTCTCAACTTGAGCTTCTGTGCTACAGTTCAGATGCTTTTTTCCCTCTTTTTACCTTTTTGAAGAGACAGAATTTTATAGCTTGTTTCACTATGGAAGCATACCCCCTGTTCCCTTCACAGTGAAGCTGCAAGCCTTACTTGACATGTAGATTGGTTCCAGCTAAGGGTAAGAGTGGTGCTGAATGCACACTTGGAGTGTCTGGCCACCTGCACACCTGCTTAGTCTCTAACTTTTTTTTTGTGTGTGTGTTGCTTTTGAAGATTATTTTCTAAAGAATCTGAACAATATTTTTTCAATTGGTTTTGAGAGGCTGAAAGCTTCTTCAGTGCAATGCTCAGCTATTATCAGAAAATAGCTAATGAGACAGGAAATCCTGCACGATTATACTACTTTCTGTTAAGATACTCCTACTATCTGTTAAGTGTACCTATAAAACAAATGTTAGGAAATAAATTTTTAAGTAGCATGCAAGTGATTGGTGCCCCACTCCATGTCCATTACGAAGTAGATGACTGCTTACATAGAAGGACAAGGGCTGTTATTCTGAAAAGCGATATATAATTGGATGGTGAGGTAGTAGGCTGTCTTTAGGAGAATGAGGATTCCCTGGAATATGATCAGATTTAAGTTAATCTTTATAATAAAGTTAGCATAGTATGTCATAGTACAGTATCTGCACTAATCTTGGGCATATAGTAAACCTTCAGAATAAACCCAGATGTTTATAGGATGATAATCTGTGTGGTAGGCATGAGCAGTATTAATCACTCCATGAGCAAGTTAAAATAGTAGCTACTAATCAAATTTGGGATTAAGTTTTCCTTTTGTCTGCTTTAATCTGTCTTGTTTCTGAAGCATTCATCTTCCCAGTTGGAGTTTTTAGTAAGTTTATGTACTTTATTAAAGAAGATCTATGCAACACAAACTGCTTCAGTATGAACCATTAGGTAGCTTAGTATCAGGATTGTTCTGAAGGTGAAGAGTAAACAGCACGTGGTTTGACAGCTGATGGTAAAGTTATTTTAAGAGGTTTTGATCAACCTTAGTGAAAATCAGATTAAGCTGTAGTTTGTATATGATGAAGTAACTTCAGAGGTGACATATTAGTCCTCTTTTATACTTGGTCCCAGGTACTACTGTGCTCTTGTGGTCAAGTTGCTCTATATGATTGTAATAATCAAGTAAGAGCTCTTAGTAAAAATCTAGTGTAGCATGTTGGATTGTGGAGTGCTGAACCACATTTATCTGTCAACAAAAGTACTGAATTATATGTCAGTTACTTTTCAATAGCCCTGTTAATTTAAAAAGAGTTTGAATACCTGTATGCTTAGAAAATATATATATCCATAATTTACTCATATTCAAATATACATATATATGTTCTTAGGTTTTTATTCAGCTTTTTGAAGTTGCATCCTAACTCTTGTGGTGGTTTGTTTTGGTTTTTTTGTTTTGTAAAATACTGTAGGTATGTGGGCAAAGATTATTCTTCTGCCCAGGAGCAAATGGAAGATGACATGAAAGCATACTATAGTCAGAATAGTAAAGTGTCACTAGCGCAATCTTTGAGCGTTGGGCAACTTGTTGCAGTACATGCTGAAGAAGATGCCTGGTTGCGTGCTCGGATAATTTCTCTAGAAGACAACAGAATAAAGGCAAGCAATTACTTCCTTTGGCACTTGGAGAAAGACTTGGAACAATCTTGGCTTTTAGATAAACAGTCAATTCCTAAATTTGCTGCACTTAGGGTTTTAATATGGGGCTTAGCCTTACAGCGCTTGTGTGCTGAAATGTACCATTAGTAGTCTTGCAGGGAATGGATGTAATAGCACTATTTGGAGTGGGACAGAGGAAGGAAAAGGAAAGAACAGAATCCACTTGCTGGTAGATGTTGTTTGAAGTCTTATACTCGAGTATCTATTACACGCACTAGATAGCAAGACGATTAGAAACATACTTGTGTTTCCTTCCATGCAGATCTTGCAACTCTGGGAGTTCTATTTAGATTATGTAACTCCTGTGTTACACTTTCCTGGGCCAAATAGACTACTTGCCATTTGCAATGAAACTTGACCATACGATAGAACTTTCAAACTTGTCAGTTATTTCTTGCTAGTCAGACATTTAATGATAACATTTCATATTTTGTTTCTTCCCCAAGTTACGTGACTTTTTACTCAGGTCTGCTTAACGTACTTCTGAAGTTGATCCACTTCATAAATACTTAAATAGCACATGTATTAGAATTGACAATTTTCGGAAAATTAGTGTGATACCCTTCAGCTAGAACTTGGAGGGGAGTGTCGGAACTCAGTTTTGTGAAACATGGTTGGATTTAGAGAAGTGTCAAGGACAATTGGTAGTAAGTTTGCCTCCAATTTCTCTCTAGCCAGAACTATCAGCCAGAAGGAAGCTACTGCTTTATTGCAGTGTTTGCTGATTATCCTGTGTTAGGGTGATCTGCAGTGTTCAGGCTCCCTTTTCAAGTTTGTTATGCATGATACAGTTTAGAAAAAAAGTTGTAAAGAGCCCTGTCAAAGCCTTCTTTCACTTCAGCTCAAATTATTTGCTGCCAATCAGCAGTTTCCTGTTTTCCTGCGTTGGCTGTGGTATTTGTATCAAAATTACTGTAAGCATAAATCAAAATTATTGTCTTCACAGTGTAAAAACAAAATGCAGAACATAAAATGGCACTTAAGTGGTGCTTGACTTTTCAAGACTTTCAACACTTTACAAATAAAAATTGCTGCTCTATTACCTTTCTCCATGTAGTTGAGGTAACTTATGCAGTTCCAGTACTGTTCCTATTAAAAGCTGATATTCCATGGAGCAGTTGGAGAGGATGATTTTTCAAGATCTTGAGAACAGAGATCCCTGAAAATGCAAAACATTCAAGCAGTGAAAGAAACATGAGCTAAATGTTGCATAGTAACAAAGTGATTTGTTTGTGGCTGCGCAGAGAATGTGGTAACTGAGTACATTTTCCCTGGACTCAAGAAAACATACCTTCAGTCGTATTTGTGATCTTATGCTTTTATTCCCTTTTTCATTATCAGGTATGCTATGTTGATCATGGCTTCAGTGACTTTGTTGAAAGCAACAGTGTGTACAAACTACAGAAACAGTTTTATTCACTTCCATTTCAAGCTGCAAAATGTAAACTGGCAGGTAAGAGAAATCCAGTGTTGACTATATACCTTACTGCTGCACAGTTTACAGATTGAAACATCTGGGAGTTATGATCCTTGTTCGTAATACCTCTATATATGTTAGATTTTGTTCAAGACAGGTAGTCTAAACAGATGCAGGTTGGCATGGAAAGAAAGGAAGGAAGGGAAAAGAAGGAAGGAAGGAAAATTAAGAAAGGAAGGAGGGAAGGGAAGGAAGGGAGGGGAAGTAAGGAAGGAGGAAAGGAAGAAAGGAATGAAGGTAGGTTTTATAGAGAAACGTTGGTATTAGAAGACATGTATTTCTGTAATAGAGCTTAGTTGTTTCTGCACTTGGCTTGGATGTCTTTTATCCCTTTAATATATGCGAGAAAAATAAGGAAATGGTTGCTGTTATGTGAAGCAATATATTAGCACAACTCCTTTTTTCCACAAATGTGGAAATTTCCTTTTGTAGCCAGGTCAGGCAATATTCCTAAATATCACTCTATTGTAGAGTGATCCTTCTCTTTTTAATACTTGCATATTTGCAGACTTCCTAGGCTCTACTGGAAATTATTTAGCTTCCTAAAGCTGGTAGGCATTTCTGATTTTTTTAGAAATATTTTATTTTAAATATATAAAATTGCCAGGAATTAGCTTGGATTTTGCTTGTATGTTTTAATACTTGGATGCATTATTCCTTTTTTCTCTACGCATTTGCCTTGACTCTTTCTGAAGAGGGTCTTCTTTTTTTTTTTTTTTTTCATTCCCTGAAGATGGCTTTCTGTCTTAAAAAGGTGGAAATTGAGCAGAATACAAGTGGCGGTGCAGTACAACTATCCTGCTACATCCTGATTCTTGAAAAGATTCCTGTTGTGAGCACAGACCTGATCATTATTTTTCCTTTTGAATAAAGTGATACATAAAAAGTACTATCTGTCTTACAGGACTGGAAGTCTTCTGTGATGATCCTGGCCTAGTGAAGGCTGTGGAGTTGCAGACATGCTCCAAGATATTTGCTGTGGAAATACTGGAAAAGAGTGACATTCCTCTTCTTGTTCTCTACGACACTTCTGGAGAAGATGATATCAACATCAATGCTACTTGTCTGAAGTCATTGTATGACAAGTCTCTTGAATTGCACCTACAGGTACCATTTTCCTGTTTCCTTCTAAATTCATTAAAAATCGTTGACTTGAATGGACAAAACACTCAGAAATTTGCTAAGTCTGTGTATGTGGTTTGCTCCCCAACTTTCTTGTCAAAATCTTACCGTTGCAGGTAGATGCACTGTATACACATGTCAGAGTAACCAGCGTTTTCTCTGACGGAAGTCTGTATTGCCAAGTGCCATCTAAAGGCATGTCCAGACTTTCTGAAATCTTGCAGAAACTGGAAGACTATTTCCGTTACAAGGTAGGTTCTATGGTGAGAGAAGTGGCAAAGTCATGTAGCCTTTCTTCAGAGTGTACCAGTAATTTTCCTTGCACGTAAGTTGGACTGAAGTAGCAATGGACTATTCTAAAAGGCTACAGATTCTCTTTATATTTTTTGGGAGGGCATCCATCAGTTTAAAAAGTGTCTTTTGATAATGTTCACAAGCTGTCTTTAAGGCTTGAGTAACTTTATGACTTCCCCTGAATACTTAGAACAGTAACAATATGGCTCATAATGGGAAACTCCCAGTGGAAACTGCATTAGATTGCTACAAAGCCTGTGGAGATCCTGCCAATTTTTTTTCTGGAAGTTTTACTTAATGCGGTAGAGTTAAGACACATAAGCAGCCTGGCCCACAGCACACTGTGCAAAGTGACAATAAAAGCAAGGTCTGTCCTCTTTAGCCTGGCTTCCTTGGAGATTCAGTGGCTTTGATCTGATCTGTTGCGTATCTTGTACCTTAGCTTTTGAATGTTCTGATTAATTTCAACTAGAACAGATGCATATGAGACATCTTAAAAAGTCTTAAGCTGCTTTAAGATAGGCATGTGACAGAGAAGTATGACATTCTACCAGCCATTTAGACACATACAACAAACCGTAGTGGACTAAAGAGAAATTATACAAAAGAGAAGAGAATCTAATTTGCTGAACATGCAGCTGAGCCATGAAATGCAGAGCTTTAAAGGTCTGTTAGAACTGCTGCTTGTGAAACTACTCTGTCAAAGTGTTTTTAGGTATAGAAGTTGAGCTTTAGACCTGTTGTGGAGCACACACCATCTGGAAATACTTTGTTGAACGTGCCTCTGTTATCAAGATACAGTTTCAAGCAAGCTAAACACTTAAGGAGGGTGTATAGAGTTCTGATTGTGTTAAACAACACAAAGGTAGGCAGCCAAGTAGGTATTTCAAAAGCTCAGTTTTTCTGGACAGAGTGTATGTTAGGCTCCTTTTGCTATTAAAGGGAGAACTTGACTCAGAATCTTTAATATCGATCTCTCTATGAGGGTGAAAAAAGCAATCTTGACATTGAAGCTTATCATGAGGGTTTTTATTTTGCCTGAGAATTTAAGCAAACTAAGGTATTCATGGGTCTTCATATGGAGTTTATTCATGTTTTGTGTAGTGTAACCATTCTCATGTTATTTAGGAACATTGTGGTGAATGTCACCCCCATAAGACTTTCATTTGAGTTGGTATTAAATTTGATTTGTTAAATATCTCAACAAATGTGTTCTAGAATATAAGGTAGGAGTTTCTCCTGTTGTTTATCGCAGCTCTGAGCTGCTCTTGCTTTTTGGAACACTGAAGTCATGGTCAGTAATTTTGTATTTTGTGTTTCCAAATATGTTTTTTTTTTCCCTGACGGTTTATATTTTCTTAGTTTCTCAGTGTAAGACACAGCTTGGAATGAAACCTTTACTGACTGGGGAAGCTTAAAACATGATAAGAAATGCTTCTAAGGCTGGAAGGAGACTTTATATTTGAAACAGTTTTTGCTTTACAGAACAGTTTATTCCATGTGTGGCTTTAGAAATGGTTAGTGGAATGTCAGGTAGTAATAGCTCCATGCTTTTTATCTTCTGTTTTTATATTTGCAGCAGACATCCGAGTTTAATGTATCGCTGCCTTTCTGTGGCAAAATCTGCTTGTTTCCTTCTAAAGGAAAATGGGCACGTGTAGAGGTAAGAAGTATTCAAAGAACAGCTACAGTTTTCTCACATACAGGTGGCTCTTCTTTTCGTTCAGTTAAATCTGAACCCTTAGTTCCCGTGAAACTTGCTATTGTGTATGTGTCCTTGTGTTTTTAGCCTCAAAATTATACTCTTATTTTCTTCTTTCAGATAAGAATTATTCACACTAGACGGGCACTTGATGTGCAGTTCATGGATACTGGAACAGTTGCAACTGTAAAAGTATCAGAGCTTAGAGAAATCCCACCACAATTCCTGAGAGAAGTAATTGCAATACCTCCTCAGGTATAAAGACATGTTAAAGCTAACCTATGCTGGATCTCTTGGCAATGTTTGTCGTGCAGCTGCTTCAAGGTTTATGAAATTAAATTTTGTTTTGTTTAATAGCATTGGGGTGTATTTAGTTGTGCATTTTTGCCTGAAATAAATCATAATGTAGTCCTGTGTATCAACAGGATGCTGTGTATGTGTAATGGTAATGGTTTTGCATGTTCCTCTGTCTCTTTCTGTTTGACATATATTATTGAATCTGTCAGAATTAATGAAGTTTATGTGAAAAAAAAATGTGGACTAGTTTCCTATTACTAAATTTTACCTTGTGTACTTAAATACGTTCTTAGGCTTTAAAATGCTGCCTAGCAGATTTACCTCCTAACACTGGCATGTGGACTCCAGATGCTGTACTCTGGCTGAGAGACACTGTAATGAATTGTCCTGAATTTAGCATGAAGGTAAACAGTCAAAGTGCATGTGTGACTTGAAATCCATAAGTATGTGGAAAGAGAATTGAAAGAACAACTGCAGAAGTTTAACCAATCATCAAATTTAATTTTGTTATAGAAGTTTAAAAGTTTATAGCGAGCTCCTGGACATAAATTCTATACCAAGTCCTTTTCTTAGGACATTTGGAAGAAAATTTACTTGCTTAAGCCTGTTTAAAGCTTCTCTTTCCCCTCTTTTCACATTAGCCTTTCACATTTTGCTGTCCCATTCCAAATATGCAGCTATAGTTATTTTGCCAGCTGGTAAGAAGGAAACACATTTGTTAATGTTTCACCACGGAAAAAGATACAACTGTTGAGTTAATCTTAAATTATTTTTATGCCTCCTGTGACATAGCTTTTTCTCCTTCTGGTCTTGGAAAGCAGCTTTAGTCTTTCTTTGCTTTTTTCTAATCCAATGTGATTTAGTATATGCTATTGTATACATAGAATTCCTAAAATTATCCTTGAGATAAAATTATTTCTGCTTGCAATGTATCCTATCCAGTTTAATTAACTGTAAACACCCTTCTGAAGGAAATCTGTTAATAGCTACAGACTAAACAAAGCTAATTTCCTCTTAAAAATCTGACTCTAGATACGGTCACAGCACTTTGAAAAAGTATTTTGTAGCTCTCACTGCCTTTTTGCTTGCTTTAACACTGGAGACCATTTAGTTAAAACATTGCTCCTCTAATCTGGGATTTACGACAGTTGCATCTGGCTTTTCTAAACATACTCTTCCAAGATAGTTTGAGTTTGTTACTAATTTTTGCTTGATTAAATAATAGACAACAGTTGTATGGTTAAATTGTGGGAAGTTTTTATTCCTGGCTGGGAAAAACAACAGAATAATCTGTATAGCTGCAAATGCTCTTTTTAGCTGTTGTGAGTTGCTTACTATCCTACAACTTCATTAACATACTTGAGACAACCTTGAAAATACTTCTGTACATGTAGAATGCAATGAACTGTTGCCACTTTTCTGTTAAAGGCTTTAGTCTTCTGTACAAAATCAGACATTCATTTAATAGTTATTAACTGGAAGTTAAACTGTATTTTGTTTTCCAAGGTGGTTAAACAGGATGGTTCAAAGGGAATTGCACACGTTTACTTGTTTGCTCCAGAGAATTTCCCAGACATGGATCATAGCATCAATCGACAGATCAAAAATGCAGACTTGTGGAGACATCAGAAAGATGTTTTCTTGAGTGTTACACCCAGTGGCACTAGCTCCCCAAAAATGACAAGTGATGCTGCTTCGGCTCTACGGGTAGCTAGTGGAAGGCTGGAGAAGAGTTTCTCAGATTCACCCAGAGAACCCAGCAGTGCAGTGTCCATGATTGATGTGCCTCCACCTCTACCTTTGTTAAAGACTGGTGAGCTCATGGATGTCTATGTTTCAGTGGCCTGCCATCCAGGTCACTTTATTATCCAGCCTTGGAAGGAGCTACATAATCTGGAAGCCCTAATGGAAGAAATGCTCTTGTACTACAGCCGGGCAGAAGAGAAACCTGTGAACATTGAAAAAAACAAGTTATACGCAGCTAAAATTGAAAATCAGTAAGTAGATACTTACATTAAAAACAAAATCTTTGAAGGAAAGCTTACCTCTGCTAAGCTACACAAGCCTAGCTCTGCTTTGTCCACACCGTTAACAAGATGACCGATGTTCAGTGATACTGAGGGATTATGGGAATAAATGAGGTTGCAGTCTCTTCCATGCTTCCAGATTTTAACTGGAAGGGTTGAGTTTGATTCGGATGATACCAGATATGGGAAACCTCAGACATATTGGTTAAGATCTTTTGGTCATGTATTATTTTTTCTGGTGCCTTGATAGTGTGTGAATATGAATTCAAATTGTCTGTTCTTGTTCTCCCCCTTTTTAGGTGGTACAGGGTTGTAATAAAAGGAATTCTTAGGAATGGGTTTTTGTCAGTGTATGAGCTGGACTATGGTAAACATGAGTTTGTCAGCATAGAGAAAGTACGACCACTTGTGGATACATTCAGAAAGCTGCCTTTCCAAGCTACAACAGCTCAGCTTGCAGGTAGGTTGTAAGCATTGGTAACTTTTTTTAATTAAAGTCTTGCATCAGTGGGGATACCAAATGAACAGAAATGTTCAAGTGCATAAAGCCAAAGGTTAGTGATGCAACTGGGGCTTTTTGCTAAAGTAAGAAAAGTACCTGCTTTCAAAAACATGCTTAACGAATGCATGTTTGTCATTAAAGTAGCTCTGCTTTTCTTTTTGATATGCGTGGTGATGATTGTTTTATTACTTGTTTATTTAAATGCAGCAGTTTTAGTTACTATGTATAAAACTGAAGATTTCTTTAACAGCAGCTGCTTTTCATTGTCATAAATACTTATCACTTAACGTGTGTGATTTCTAATATGCAAGGGACACAGGGACATCAAAACTAAATGGTTTTTGGATCCTTAAACATAACCTATTACAAAGTGTGAAAGTTATGATACACCTGTAGATAAGAACTTAGGTTCTTATTGTCTTAATCTACATAAATTTAGGAGCAGGATGCTGAAGTTCTTCCTATATATCGTGCCCCTATTGTAATTTACTGTTTTCCAGTGCATATTTGGAATCCAAAGTTGCCCAAAATATATTGGTATTCTCAAACAAACAAGCAAAAAGGTCCACATGGGGGTGAGGGCCTTCAACAGACTTAAGATTAATTTCCTTGAGAATATGGAGCACAGAGAGTGTGCAGACATCTGATAGAATTAAAAAAACAAAACTTGATCTCTGCTTGGTGTCCTTTCCTTCTTTTTCCAAATTTTTCTTTCATTTCTGCATTGCTTTCAGTTGTATTTCAGAATGTCTCTCATTGCTGCTTTCTGCCACTGTTTGGTCAGCACTACTTTAGTCTTCAGTTACAGAATAAGCTTGCCTGAAGTGATAGGCCACAGGGCTGGTGCTCTGATCTAGGTTCCTTTCTGTGGATTTGCTTTCCTGCATAGCCGTTGGTGTGACCTTGGGGGGGGGGGTTTAAACTAGTGACGATGGATGTGTTACCAACAGGCTGGGGTCCTAGGAATGCACTGCTGAAAGGAAGCTGATTTCTAGCTGTATCTCTCTACTGAGGTAGTACAGGATCCAGCTGAGCAAGCCTGTAGGTCATCCAGTTTACCTGCTTCACAGAATTCCAGGTACCTGGTCAAGTTGGCCTCTGAGCTGCTTCATATTATCAAAGCATGCCAGTTAAGTCTGGAAGACTGGAAACTATTATCCTGCTATTCTTTCACTTTTTTCTCTTTTTTTCTTTTTTTTTTTTTCATGTCTGCTACTTCTCAGTCTCTGGTCAGTTTCCTTGTAAAATACCATATGCTTCTCCACCAGCCTTTTCTAGCACTAATTACGCTCACTTAACAGCTGACTTCTCATTCCTCCTGTAACCTGCAAGGAGCTGTGTTCCTGTGTTGTCCTGTCCTATCAGCAGCAAGCTGCTGCTAACAGTAAAAGCAAAGTGTTGTCACTTTGTTATTTTGCTTTTTACCTTAAGTTACTGCTTAGGTATCCACACACAATATTTGAGCGCCTTTGTGTCTAGATGCTGCACAACAGCAATGGTCTGGGTAGACTGAATTTCATGTCTGCAGGAGCCACTTCTTTCTTGGTGGATTTCATCCCTATTAAAAAACTTGTTTGGATTCTAACATTACATTCCTCAGCAGAATTGACCTTGTGGAATGCTGCTTTCAAAAAAAAAAAAACAAACAAAAAAACAATAGCAGCAGTTGTGAGGCATTTAGGTGGCATTTCTCTTCGTTTCTGCTCCCTTCAAATCTAGTTTGGGACTTGATGGTATGGCAGAAGTTTTTGTAGCTGATGCTGCTTTGAGATAAAGAAAACTTCATCTAAAGCAAGGCCAACAGAACAAATAATTTCAGCACCCTCAGGCAGAAGACAAATAGTTTGTTTTGAAAGGACCTTTAGTTTCCTCTGTATCATATTTCCTGATGTGCCTTGATCATGAATGACAGCTGATATAGGTTGGATTACTCAGTGCATCAGTGCATTTGCCTTTCAGTTCTGCAAACCTGTCCACATCTTCAGATTTCAAGAAAAAGTTCTAGTCTGTGTAATAGATCAACTTGTTTGTGCGGGAGACAAGTGAGCTTGTGTTTCTTTTTTGAAGCTAAGCTGCATTTAGTAGCGCTTGAGCACCTGTTTTCTCAAGTATTTAAACTCCCCCACTTACTTATAAAGTTAATCATTCAGATTGGTTCGGTTCATAAACAGTCTCTTTTGCTTTATGTTTGTCTTAGGAGTGAAAAGCCAGCAGTGGTCAGAAGAGGCATCAATAGTGTTTCGGAATCTTGTAGAGAAGAAACCCTTGGTGGCACAAATACAGGCAGTTAACGAAAGCACTAACTCTTGGGATCGAAGGATAGTGACTTTTCTCGTGGACACATCTCTTCCGGATACTGATATTTGGATTCATGATTTTGTGTCTGAAAGTCTTGTGGAATTTTCAAAGGATGATTAATCATCACTTCTGAAATGTAGCAGCTCAGATTCTTTAGCAATAAAATAAATAACAGGCTTTGAAGAGAAATATAAGTATTATATGGCCTTGAAGACATGAAGGTGATGAAAATTAATCTGTGTTCTGTGAAAAGGGTTTAAGAAGTTTAGGTTCTGCTGACTTCAGCTGACATTCTGACAATTTGCACTTTGTTTACCATTGTAATGCTAGAATGTTTGGGTGAAAATATTAAAAAGTTATTTATCAATAAAATAATGTTGGCTTTTGTTCATGTGAACTTTCCCTAAATGGGGGGGAGGGAGTTTTATCTCATAGCTATTACTTAGAGCCATTACTCAGAGTAATTACAGGGTACTCCTCCTTTTTACTTTAACTAGCATTTTTATTACTTGGCAAACATGGAAGCAGTCCTTGGTATTTCTAAATTTAGTGTCAGAGGCATGCATTATTGGTGCATTTCTCCTCCTTCCTTAACTTTTCATAGGAGTTGAACAGTTGAAAGTGCCTTGTTTGCTAGACCGCATTAATGGGGCTTAACTTCCACAGAAGGGTATGCACTTTGTGTGCAAACACAACTATGCTTGTTGTTCTTTAGCAATGATGCACTTTTCTGAATTCTTTGCTTCCCTCACCCCACTCCCCCATCCAGGTGCTAAATTAAGGCATTCCTTTCCTTCTTTTTTGATAGCTCATTTTCATGTGTTACTTCTGAGAAACTTTCCAGGACCACTGCTCCCTGGAGACAGGAGCAAGCAATGTCCTTTGAGCATGTGGATTGGTGCTTAAAGTGCTCTGAACATGGTATTTTCGGCCTACTTTAGAGCCTGCTTTATTTTTGGCCTTAGAAAAATTTAGAGGAGGTGTAGACATGATTATGTTTCATAGCCTGCTGCCTAGATTTGAGTTTGTTTGCCACAGTCCCTTAAAATTGTTAGAGTATTCAAGCTTTACACAGTGAATGCCAGCAGAAGAAGTTTTTCTTCACAGCTATATGATCATAGCTATATGATCTTTCCAGTAATACATAAACTGAGCTAAGAAATTCTGCTGGCATGCTGTCTGCATGGGTAAAGGGGGCTAGGTAGAAAGGGAACCGTGACTGGAAGGTGCAGACCGTATGTAACATTAGAATGAGAGAAGTTCATGCAAATACTCCGAGTAAACAAGCTGTGTAAGCACGGAAGACTTAAGATTCACACCCTCATGGACTAATTCTGGTGTAGTTCTGGAGACGCTCTGAGGTCATCAGCAAGAAGTCCTTCTGGAAGCCTGGCAGGTGTCTTTCTGCATGGACTGTGCACAGGATATAGCAGAGCCCTTGTGAATATACCAGCCAGTGATAAACTAAGAAACTGCTAATCTAAAGGAATTTGCTAGTTAACATGGTCCTGCCCACATTTAAGTGTGCTGAGGTGAGACGTTCAAGTGTACTTTTTGAGAAAGAAGTTACATTAATGCCCAAAATACCAGTATTTTTCCATTTTAATAAATTTCTCCTTCCTCAGCTGTCACTGCAGAGAAGGTGAAGAATGAAGGGGAAGGAGTCAATGTGATGATGAACTGCTGTAGGATAAATTTCCATGCAGAAGCTTTCTTCTGTGTAGGACTGCTTCAGAGCCTGAAGATCTGAATAGTGCAGGTCATTAGGATGAAGTAATCTGGGAACAGGCTTTGGGACCCTACACCTGCAGTATTAGGGGAAAGACCCTCACAGATGTTCAGGGTGGTTTTTGAGCTTGTCTCCTCCTTCTGAAGTATGCCTCACCCTCCCCTTGGTTGTCCGTGGCTGCTCCAGAGCCTAAAAAGCCCCAGTGAGAAGCAAAGACAATATTCATACAGTCTCAGGCATTTGCGCAACTCAGTACTGGAGTTCACGTAGGCAGCTTTGTGTGGGGGTAAAACAGTGCACCATCTCCATGTGGTGACTCATTTTATGCACAAATTGAGCATACATCCAACCCCAACTTAGTAACACAAGGCTGCATTCAGTTCACATGCTGTATCCAGAGGCTGCATTGTCTCCCTGTCCTCACACCCACTACCCCCTACCACCCCTGTACTAACCAGCTCCGTTACTAGTGCATTTCACTGCAGGTGCTGTGCTGCTAGTTACTGACTGTCCTGGTTCTGGCTAGGATATTGTTAATAAACTGTTTCAGCCAAAACCAGCACATTTAGCTACTGTCTCCTTAACACCACCTGGGATTTTAGTTGCAGAGCTATGCTTTTACACCTGCTTTTAATGTTAGTTTCTCACCTGGCTGACCAGCCTGTAAGTTTCTGATAGACTTGTTACCTGCTAGGGCTGTTTGAGTATATTTTGTCCTCTGGCTTTGAAAAAAGTGCAGAAAGTGTTGGCTGTACGCCAGTATTGAACACTTTTGAGTTTGTTGAGGTTCGTGATCCATGGTTAGCATAATTAGCAGTGCTAGGAGGCATTAGATCTGCCTGCTCTGTGCAAGTTGTGAATTCACACAGAATGCTGTGTGGTTTTTAACTTCAGTTTTAAGGTGTTTGGGGTTGGTTGTGAATGGTTTCTCTGCTGTCACTAATGCATGGCACCTCACCAGGGATGCCTCCAGTGTCTGAGTTAACGGCTTCATGTGATCTTTCTATTTCAACAGCTATTAGAAGGGCCTCCCCAGGAACCCTGCATGCAGTTCTGGGTGCTGTCATACAAGAAACGTGGATTAATTTTAGAGAGTCCAAATGAAAGCAAGAACAATGAAATTCTAGAAAACCTGTCTTAAATGATTCTGGGTAGGAGAAGGCTAAGGAGGGGAACACTTTCAAGTTTTCACTGATAAAGAATCTGCATTTTTATGTAGGGAAAATAGGACACCTAAGGGTTTGAGTTGCCTGGAAATTCACTGGAACTCCAGTTTCATTATAAATGGCAAAACCAGGTAGGATGTATCTGTAGAAACCCACCTAATCCTCCCTTGGATATGGAGATGGAATCTGTAATTCTTGGAACCCCATCCAAGATGGAAGAAGAGAAGGCAGCATTGTTAGATGTGTCTTGTGGATCACCGTGAATTTTATAAACTGGAAAATGACCATTTGTTACCTAGGGGAAACAGACAACACTGACATAGTTGAAAAAGATCTCTTACATTCCCAAGGCTGTGAAGAATAGGCTCTTTCAAACCATCTCTTCTCTGTTTATTCTGTCTCAGCTGTATTTGTTAGGTTTAAAAAGTTCAAGTTTACCTGTTTTCATCTCCAGTGTTTTTATGCTGCATCATTTTGAAGAACTCTGTCAGAGAACACAGAATCACAGAATTGTTGTGGTTGGAAGGGACCTCTGGAGAAATGCAAGAATGCTCTTTTCCATCCCAAAATGAGTTCCTATCTCCAACGTTTCCACTCCTGGACTACTCTTTTCCAATTTTAGTAGACTTTTGTTGCAAACCTCTATTGTATATGTGTCCTTTGTTCTCACAGTTGCTGTGCATCAGACAAAACTTCAAGACCCTAGATTGTCGTGTGACTGTGTTAGACAAGGGAAGTCAAAAAGAATCATGCAGTAAAGCCCCCTTACTTTAAATGTTCATAATGACTGAAAGCTTCCTTCTGTGTTCATTTGTTCATTGCGGCATTTTCAGACTGGAAGTCTTCAACAGAAGTTGTCCTGCTCTGTGAGGTTAGAACATGGCATGGGCAGGAGAGGCTTCTGACCTGAGCAGATGTGTTTCCAGTGTGCTGAGCTGATGCACTCTCAAGGGTGTCTTGAGAGCTGTTTTGAAGAGAGGCTTAGGTGTAGTTGGAGTTAGCAATACTAAGTGTCTTGTGAGCAGGGCTGCGATGTGTGTTACTTGCAGCATTGATAACTACCATGTGTTACAGTAGGCAGCTAGAAAAGAAGCATCACTAATACTTACACTGAAAACAAATGCGCTGAGAACCTGGGTTAATGTCTTGCCTAATGGAGACAGGCTCAGTGCATCCTAAGGGGAGTGCAGCACTCACCTTGGATGAGATTCTGGTGACCACAAAGCTAGACCTGATCAGCAGACAGATGGGATAAAAATGAAGTGTCTTGTGCATACCTCAGAGAGCAGTGCCAACATGGGCATGTAGGGAAGCTTGGTGGTGCTGGTGGAACTCTTCCAGAGCTGGTCACAGCTTCCACATCCTTGAGAAAGACAGTTGGCAAGCAGGTAGTGTAGATAGTGGCATCTGGGTTTGTCTGATCTGGTATCCATTGAGCTTCTTCAGCCTTAAGTGACTTAGACATTTGTGCCAGTCAATGGGTGAATTGGGTGGCTCCAAGTGCCCTTTTTCACTGCTGCTGGAAGCTGGGATGATGCCAGTGTCCAGGGCCATAATCCTGCTTATATCTGCCAGGCATGCACCGAATCCGGTGCTCGGCAGGGTTCCCATTTGTATCCTTCATTTGGCCCAGCTGTGAGTAGTATTTCCAGTGTTAACCACATTGTGCTCCAGACACCATGGACAAGGAATCTCAGTGCCAAGCACATCAGCGGTATGGCAAGCTGTGGAAAAAAAAAGCCAGGTACCATCTCATGGAGACGGGGGCCATTTCAGATGAAGGGCATTACTGGGTGTGGGAAGTGAGAAGTGTTCATGTGGACTGACAGGCCTGGGGCCCTCTCTGCTATTGGCATGCGGCTGCTGGTGGAGAACTGGCAGCAGAGAGAAGGAGAAGCTTGGGACTGACACTTTATGGGAGAGTTATTAAAAAAAGAATATAGGACAAATTCAGGAGGCTTTATGGTGACTCAAAGAGGGGACGGGAGATTTAGCATCAACATTGTTAAAACTGTTGACACCATGAGGCTGGGAGGCTGATGGCAGGCTTGGAGTTGCTCTAGCAGGTGGCTGTCACTGGACGCATGGGGCAAATTGACAGGAGTAAAGTAAGATGTGGAATTAGTAGGTGCATTGATACCGATGGCATCTGTGCCCATGCAGCCCCAGTGCCCCAGCAGCGCGGGTGGCTGGGCTTGGGGTGGCTGAGCCCCGAGACCCCAGTGGTGCGAGGAAGGAGCCTCAGGGTGCTCGCAACAGCCTGTGTCCCCGCGCACCGAGGCGTGCACGCCTTAAGGCGCTTTGCAGAGGCACCTGGCTCGGCGCTCCGCAGAAGTTGCTGTGGGACAAGGGGCAGGCGGCTGCGTTAGCTCCGCTAACAGCAAGGCAGACCCTCTGGAAGCTAGCGCTGCCTGCGCCGTGCGGGGTCCCCTGCGCGCCCCGCGCCGGTGGCTCCGAGCGCGCTGTGCAGGCGTGGGGTCAGCGCCCGCGGCGGGGGCCGAGACGGGCACAGCTGTCGGCGGCCGGGAGGGACGGTGGGGCCGGGCCCCGCTGAGTGACGGCCGGGACGGGGCTGGGGCCGCGGCCGCCCCCCCGCCCCCAGCAGCGGCGCAGCCGGCACGGGCAGGACGCGCCGCCCGGGCTCGGCTCGGCTCACGGGTGCGGTAAGCGGGCGGAGGGGTGGCGGGTCCGACCCAGCTCTTACCTGGGCACAGTTATTTGGCCGGTACCGGACTGTACCGGCTCGACATAAACACGGGCCGCCTTCGCACTGCGAGCGACCGGCTCGCACAGCTCGCATGGTGCCCGGCTGCCCTGCCTGCTTGTCCATCCGTCTAGCTATGTGTCTGTCTGTCTGTCTGTCTGCCTGCCTGCGGGTGGCCGTGCCCGCAGCGTCGGATCGCTGCGTTGCGCCGGGGTGCTCGGAGCCGCCGTTGCGGCTGTGCCCCGGTGCAGCCTCCGGTACCCCGCCGGGACGCGATCACTTGTATCCGCGGCGGAGCGGGTCGGGGGGACCGCGGGCAGCGCCGGGAGGTGCGGGGCGGCCCGGAGTGTGTTGCGGAGGGCGCCAGTAGTTGCGTTTGGTTGCTGTTGCGTTTGTAACCCTGTGAGCCCTGGTGGGAAGTAGTTTTCCAGGGCATGGATCAGTAGAAAGCTGCGCTGCTTTTGTACGGGAAAAGTGGACATTAGCGCCGAGGGGAAAAGATTCCTTGAGTCCTTGTAGTGTGTTTTCCATGGGTTGAGCTCGCTCTATCTTGAGTTAGTCACTGACTTGCTTTGGAGGGTGCTGCCTATCTCAAAGATAACTTTCCTTCGCTCTGCTGGACGCAGTGTGTGCCCTCACTCACGAGCCATCCTGATGTACTCATCTGCTGGCTTCTGCTTCTGAAGCCGTCCTGCACGGTCTGTGGGGCAGAACCCGTTGCCCACTGCCCCCTGCTCTGGACCCCTAGGCAGAGGTCCTGTCTCTTGTTGCTTTACATCTTTTCCTTGAGAATTGGGCTTTGAGCCAGAAGGGTGCTCAGCACGTGGCTGCAGCTATTTTTAGGTCTGTATAAAATCCCTTCTTAGTGTGTGACTCGCCAGCTCACGTGGGAATGAATTCCTCACTTCTCATCAAAGAGGCAAGATCTGTGCCGAGAGGTGGCCACCTTCTCTCACCCTGCCTGATAGAGTTAAAAATAGTGAACAACCTTCTGAGCCAGCCAGCCCTGCTTCAGGTTATGATAGGGAGCCCTTCATCTTTTGTCAGCTTGGAAAGACGAGCTGGGACACAACGTTAAAGCCAAGCACTGTCTTGCCAGCACCGTGGTGCTCGGAGCCCAATGCCTTTAGTAGTGGTGTAGAAGAGCCTGCACTGTTGGCTCTTGCACACTTTCTACCTATTGTACCCTAGTGTACATGTATTCGGGCATTCTGACAGGCATGCTGCGTTGTATGCTCACTGCTGCTCATTTCAAGGTCTCTGTTTTTGTCCTGGCAGGGCTCTCTTTTTGTACTACTGCTACTTTTTCCCTTTCAGCATTGCTTTGTTTTGCAGCCTGGCTCATCTTGTTGTTTTCTCCATAGGAGAGTCTGCTGGCTTTTCTCCAGATAACAAACATGGTTTTGCACAATATTAGGCATATATTGCTTTCTCCCCTCCTGCTTGTTGATTTTGGAAGATCAAACAGATGTGAAGATAGGCTCTCTCATTCCTGATTTCCTTTGCTCATGTTTTACTTTCATTCACCATAAGGATAGTTTGATTTACCTTTTCAGGAGATCCTGAAAGATCCCTTTGTGCGAAGCATCTGTCCCGTTGCCTGGTGTGTAACTGCACCCCGCAGAGTGATGTGCTGCTGAACGTGATGTTTGCAGATGAATTATTTTTACTTTCCTGTTTGCTGCTTCACTGTTTTCCAAGCAGGTGGAGTTGTTGTGAAAGCCCAAGGGGAGGAGGCTGGGATCTGCTTTCTGACTTTTTTCCTCTGTAGTTGATGACCATTTGTGAATTGTGAATGAGGAAGAATCTGTCTTCACCTCTTTATTCAAGGCAGGGCCTTGTAGTCAAAGTTTACTTTGACTCTTGGAAGAAACAGGCGATATTGTGTTCCGTAGCTCCATGTTCCTAAGCGGCCACATGTGTTTTGTCACAGAACCGCATCACTGCTGGTGGCTCAGTGGTTCTCTGGTCCATCCGCAGCTCACAGTAGATCTCTCCTCACCCATGGAGGTTGTGGCTTCATATGGCCTATGTGTAGAAACCCACAGAGGTGGAAACCCCATTTCCCCAGTGCCCTGTCTCAGAGCTGCATCGCCTTCCTGGGAGGGAGTTCTTCCTACTTGTTCTTGGTGAATGAGATAAACACATATCAGAGGCTGTCCTGGGTCAGACCACAGGGGGGCCAGTCCAGCTGGCCAGTCCAGTGCCAGTCCAGATGGCAGCAGTGGGTAGCAGATGTGGTGGGAGAAGTGTGGAAAAGGAGGAATGCCTTCCCAGAGCTCTGTCCCATCCCAGCACTGTGCTGTTTATTAGCTGTCATAGCTGGAGGTGGTATCTTTGTTTCTTCAAGCCTTGGAGGGCTGAGTAAAGGTCCCACCTCTGTAAAATGTCTCATTCAGATTTGGTGCTCAGTATACACCACATACTCATTGCTGCTGGAACAGTACTTGTTTTGTTCCAGTGTTCATTAAGCATCAACATTATCTAGGGTTTATTAGTGGCACCTTGAGGGAGCATTTCACTTGCAATTCCCCTGCCTCAGCCACACTAGCAGTGAGGTGGGATCAGGAATATGCAGATGTAGGTGTGTTACGAACAGCTCATAGTGCTTTGCTTCGGGCTGTCTGTCAGGGCCTTTGATCTACAGGACATTGCCATCGCCTGTGGAAGTGTCCAAGTGCCTGCTCAGTGCAAGACAGAAGCCTTTCCGCTCCTGTGTTCACATGGCATCCTTAGGTTCAGCTGCTCCCTTCAGCTGGAGTGTGCCAAAGAGGCAGGAGTCCATCTGAGGAGTAACAGAAGTTCAGGAAAGGAACCCAAAGATCCCTTTTCAGAGAAGGCTGGCTGTGAAGTTTCCAAGTGGAAGGGATCAGTTACAGAGCAGGAACTGGTGTCACTAATGACTCAAGTGTACCCACACGCCTTTCGTAGGGATTAGTAGTTAATCGAATAAGTACATGCCAGCTGCATCAGAGAACCTCACCCCGAATAGGAGAACCCGTAAGTGTGTTTACAATGTGTCCCTTAAAAGTATGCACGCATTCCTAAACAGAAGGTACAGCTGGGATGGCTTGTGTTTGTGATTGTGCAGGGTTTGACACCATTATGTGTGGCTTGGTCATCAGACATCCAGGTGATTTTCTGGATGACCCTGATAAGGTAGACCATGTGGTAAGAGTAGCATTGAGTTGTGTGACTTGCAGGCTGCAGGGGTGTTGAGGATAGGAGGGCCAAGAGAGTGCAACCAGTGTAAGACTTCCCTTGGCCTCAGAGGGTGAAGGGAGAGGTCACAGAATCATTAGGGTTGGAAGGGACCTCTGGAGACCATTTAGTCCAATCCCTGCCAAGGCAGTGCCAAGCCACTTTATTCAAGCACAGGGAGCTTTCCCTACTGCATGCGTGACCTCAGAGAACAACCTGTTTGCTGTGGGACTGCCAAGTGCAAGGATGGGAATGTCCGCACTGGCGTGGGAATGAAGCTGCAGTATCAGTAAGTGCTGTCCACAGCATAATTGATCTTCATTGTTTTAGGCTTCGGTGGCGACAGTGACTCCGGATAGCATTATGTGTTTTGCATGGCTGATGTCATCTAGAGAGGCAGAAGTCACAGTGTGCTTTGATACATCCAAGATGTCTCCTTTGAGATGTTTCTTTTCAAATAGAAATTCCACTGTGTCTTAGTTGCTGGTTGTGAGGTTTTTAACAAACCAGAGTAAATCCAGATCTACCTTGGAAAAGTCCCGAGTTTCCTGAAGGGACAGCGGATTCCCTGTTAGAATTTACTAGGCAGGAGCCTCTTGCAAGGAGCTGAGACGGCCTCAGTCTTTCTAGTTGATGGCCGGCTTGCCTGGTGCAATGAGGATGAGTGCCGAGCTCTGTTTTCTCCATCTGATGCCAGAGCTTCTCATTGTTTGGAGCATTCTTTTTTCTGTCCACTCTTCTCATCCAGGGCATGAATGTGCTGGCACTGCTGAGCTCTGCAGGGGAAAGGCTGAGGTACAAAGGTACGCCTGATGGGCACTGCTAGCTGAGCAGGGGATGGGGACATCAGCCACCTCCTGTGCTCTGTTGTATTGATGCTTGTCTATTCCGCAAGCTGCACAAGGGCTTCTCAGTATGAGAAAACTGCAGAGCAAGGTACTATTGTGGTCTGGAAGTTGAGCAACTCACTCTCATGCTGCAAGAGCAAGGGGCTTAGCCAAGGTGACTTTCAACCGTGTCTGAGCTCATGATGGTTTAACAACAGTTTGCTTCACAGGAAGGCAGTTAAACCCCCTTGTGTTGAGCTAGAATCGGGATTCAAACTTGAATCACAGCAGTGAGGACTTTGCTTCAGCTGGGTAAGTGAAGTGAGTGCAGAAACCAAGTGTTTGAGAAATGCAGGGATCAGCTTGAAGCCAGTTCCCATCCTGTGAAATCACCTCCGGGCATTCAGAGGAGGAGCCTGCCAGTTGGACAGACCTGTGCATTCTTCTGGGACCACATCACAGGAAGTTTAGATGGGTAAGGGACCTCTGGAAGTTTGTGGTCCAGTGCTCTCCTCTGAGCAGGAGGAGAACCTGACCCAGCCCCAGAGCTAGGTCAGGTTGCCTGGTGCCTTGCTCAGTTGAGTATCAAATACGAAGGATGGAGATTCCACCACCTCTGTGGCCCTATACCACGGTTACACCACTCTCGCAGAAGGCAGTTTTCCTCTTGCCACAACTTGCTCCCATTGCCCATTCCTTTCCCTGGTGCACCTCTGAGGTGAGACTGGTTCTGTCTTCACTCAAAATCCTTTCCCTTTAGGCAGTAGATGACTGCAATTAGATCCCACTGCATTCCTCTTCAGGCTGAAGAAGGCCAGTTGCCTCCATTTCTCCTTGCAACTTCTGTGTCCCTGCCTCCTTGCCCATCCTGACAGCCCTGCACTGGAGCCTCTTCAGCTTTGTCAAGACCTGTCTTCTTCTGGGGGGCATC